AAAACGTCATCTGAAACGTGCACTGAGAAGTGAATTATCTTTTAAAACCTTTAGACTCTGAAATGTTTATAAAATGGGCAACGAGGGGCTTTTACCCTGCCTGAACTTGTTAGTGATGTTGCGTGCCTCTTGGAGAGGAATCTCTCTGGAATTTCAGTCACTGTTTTGTTTAGTTGTTTGGTTGCAGATACAAGGGGTTCTGTTCATGCAGCATCTGCTCTCAACGCGTATAACGTTGAGTTTCCTTGTAACTTGCTTTCAATAGATTTTTGTGCGAGGCTCACACAAGTCTGCCAGCTTCCTTCCAACGTGTTTCTAGCACGTCACAGGGCTTTTACCAGAGTCACTTGCTGGTAATGAATAGAAAACGCCAGCGTTTGCAGGAGTGCCGTGCTGTGGGAGAACCGGGAGGACGATGTGGCTTTGGATCTGTGTACTGACTGCGTCAACAGCTGTAAATGTTGAGAACTGGCCGATCGAGGCTAGGAAAGAAATTCCGCGCTCCCACTTTGCTAGCTCTTGCTCTCAGCATGATTTCCCAAGGCGAGGAATCTTCTGTGGCCTTTTCATTGGGTTTGTCCCTCTGCATAAACCTGTGAATGCTGGGTGTCGTGTGTGGCAGAGGTCTCGCTTTCTGCCCCTCAGTATTTGCGTTCACCGTGTGACCTCAGTGATCACAGACACCCAACACTAGCTTGAGTTTGATTTCTCAGCTGCTAGAAAAACGTTGATCCTTCCGATATGAAGGAGGTAGCGGCCCAGTGGCGACAACCTGTGCTGTCTCTTGCTGTGGTTAGGGATGAAACTGAAAATGAGGGGAAGCAGAGGTTATATAGCACATAAGTTGCGAGAGGGAAGAAACCACAACCTGGCTTCGTTAGCTCTGCTGATGGCAGAACTGGTTGTTTTCCTGCGTACAGGCTATACCCACATCAGATCTATATTCCTCTAGAAATTACAGCAGTGACTTTCTTGTCCTAATGTTCTCTTTGTCTTGAAAAACCACAGAACATTTAATAGTTGGAGTTATAAATCACACTCTGGAACATCTGTAGTTATCTTTGGGATGATGGATATCTACAGGGAAGAGAAAACGAAGAGGCAGGGAGGGAAATTCAGGTTTTAGTACAAATGTGATAAAGCTGAAAGCGTTTAGGGTGCTCAGCTTCAAGTTCTTTAAGAAAAGGTTTCTTTTACTTCAGCCATCAGTTAATGCCATTGCAAGGTCCTGCTGGGGCGGGTCCAGGACTGTGTATTACCTGAGAGTGGGGTAAGTGTCTTGTCCAGAATTACGCGCTCTTTTGGGGTTGCTTTGCTTTTCTGCAGGCGAGAGTCAGGTACATTAGATTCCTCTGTTAGTTTCACATTTTATTTTATTTTTTTTCTTTCCTCCCTCCTTGTTAGTCGCCTGTCTTGGTTGGAAAACTCCGGAGTTGGCTTCTCCTTGGATTATCCCACCATAAGTTTACATGCCGTCTCCAGGGACCTGAATGCCTACCCATGGGAGCACTTGTACGTCATGGTGAATGCCAAATTCGAAGGTATGCCCAGAGTGTTGCTTAGTGTTTCCACGCAGTCCTGAGCAGCATTATTTCTTCTTCAAAAAGAGTAAATTTTGGTTTTAAAAATTATGTGCTTTATTCAAGTCATAGCTTGTATTTTCTTTTTCATTTCTCCAAAGGACAGTTATTTTAGAAGTATAGCTTTGTCTCTGTTTAGAGTCACTTCTGCTCTCAGCATGTGAATACGTACAGCTGGAGCCACTGAAAATTGGTTCTCTGCTCTCTTATGCTCATTTTAAACAATTTAGTTGCTCTGCTGTCTCCCTGTGATTCCAGCTTAGGTATCATTTTTGCTTTATTGAATTTATGTTAATGTTGCTACCCTCTCCAGGCTTTATGAATTAAATTCACATTAGCCTGCAAGCTTTCATTCGTTTACTCCCACAGCTTGCTTAAAAAAAAATGACAATAGCTCATGTTACCAGGCTTAATGGATCTTTGTAGATTTCCCACAGAACCAACCTTTTGACCATTCTTGCTTTGACCTAGAGAAAACAAACTTTCTGTTTTATTGTTTGTATGAAGATTTTCTATATTTTTGTTGTATTGATTTTTTTTTTTTCCTTGTGGCAGACCTGTTAATATTTGAAGTGTGTCATAAACTGCCATCTCAATTTGAGTAGCGAATGTTAAGTCTTGAGCAGGTCTCCTTTTCCCTTCATGTCTACTAGTCGTTGTAGTTAGAGGTTAAAATCTGGCATTTAGTTTTTCTTTAGTCTATATACTGAAAGTACTGACAAGACTGAGGAGGCAGAGGTGTTTTTCATCTATCAATACTCTTCATTATTTCTTTCTGTTGTGTTAGTAATCTTCTCTGACAGTCTGTCACTACAAATAGTAAGAGAACGTGTATGTACACCTCTTGGTTTGTCTTCCTCACTCTTCTTTAACTCTGCTTAATTCTGAAGTAAACTGAGCCTAGTCTGAAGAAAGATGTTGTTTCCAGCTTTTTATTGATTCTGATAATTGTGTTTGAAAATACAGATATCCTGTGACAGTCTTTATCTATAAATCTTTAATAGACTGATTTCTGTGGGGTTTTTGTGGTTTGTTTTTTAAAATATATGAACTCTGGCTACAGTAAATCTACAACAAGTAGATTTGTTCAAGTCTGTCCCTGGCTTGGGATTTTAACTGCTGAATAGTGTTAAACCCAAACCTCTTCACTTCCTTGGCTGCAGGAGTCTTCATTTTTCAGTTGGGCAGGGTACATTTTGTTCTTCCTCTGAAGGTTTTTGTTGCGCGCTCTGTGTTTGTGTGCCTTGTCCTCGCCCCTTTTTTAGAAAAGGCAGTCGGAGGTTGACTTCATTGAAAACAGAGAGCCGGGCTCAGCAGTAACAAGCTGTGCCTGCGGGTGTCAGTTGGAAAAGAATTGGGGTAGCTTCCTTGAACGCTTCATTTTTGGGGACAGCGGGCTGGCAGCTTCTTGGCTTCTTCATATTCTTGGTGGTGCCAGTTTTGTGTCAGAAATCAAGTAGAAATCTTCTGTATGTGTCACAGTCCTCTGTGAGAGGCCACGCTGGAAATGAGTTGATTTCATGACAGTGGTGTAAAGGATCTGTAAAATTCAGGTGATTTAAAATATAAGTATGTACAGCATTGTGCACATAAATGATAGTGATTGAGAATTGTGGGGGTTTTAAGTTGTTTTTAATAAGAATCAGGCAGTTTTCCTGAAGTACGTGAATACATCATGTAACCATTACAGAAATCTGAAGTCCTAAAACTACAAATAGAGAAGATTTTGTGTGCATTGCATAATGTGGATGGGAGTGGGTTGGTTTGTGCCTCTCAGGTTGTGTCAAGATTTCTGATTTGATTAGGTGGCTGTTCCTGAAAGAATAAACAAACATGACTTTATTTTTTAAAAAATAAACGTGTATCTCTCAAATCTTTCAATTTCCTGAAGAGGAGGAGACAAAAGAGGCTCCCATGGCTGAAGGGGAGGAAGAGGAGGAAGACAGCGATGACGATGTTGAACCAATCGCAGAATTCAGATTCGTACCTAGCGACAAATCAGCATGTAAGTGAAGAGGGACATCGCATTTTGCCTTAAAGTCCTGGCTATATGTGGAAGCCACTGGGGTGTAAATGTTGTGATCCTTTACTGTCCTTCTCTAATTATTTGATTTCTGTGTGCTGAGAACAAGGTAAATTGTTTTATCTTGCTTGAAACTGGAATATTTCAAGCAGTCGCTTCTCAAGGAAAATTCCAGTGCTTTAAAATAGAGACTTTTAAGTATAAACATATGACAGAGATATTCTTATCTGTATACGTTTCCAGAGAACTTGTATGGGAAACATCTTTTTAATTGCAAATTCAGTGATATTTGAGTCAGCGGTAATTTCATTAGGAACACGCTAATGTCTAGATGCAATCGCTGGAAAGCAGTTGGATCCCATCTGGTGTGGAGCTTACAGTTGGATCCAAGTCTTAAGAATCTTGGGTTTAGATGCTGCAAGGAATCCTGTAGTGGGTAACCACAGACTGACTTGTCCAGACATAAGCATTTATCATCAGTGAAGTAATAGAAAAGTGCTGTTAAGAGGATAAAGCACCAGGCTGGATCTAGGAAACCTGATTTATTTCTTGCATGGCCCCTGGTTTGTTGGATGATCTTTTCAAATACAAATTCAGTGATGGTTCTGGTAAAGGAATAGCCTCAATCTCTCCGATCACTCAGTCCAGGATTTCTTGCCTGTTGTTGTGGAGTATCAGCGGAGAAACGAGGGAGGTTTGTGTTCATTTGTGTTCCTGCAGTGGAAGCCATGTTTTCAGCAATGTGTGAATGCCAAGCTCTGCACCCAGACCCAGACGATGAAGATTCAGACAACGATTATGAAGGGGAGGAGTACGATGTTGAGGCCCACGGTTTGTTACGGTTGTTTCTTTTGAAATACCTACCAGCACTTTGCTACTTGGAACTTCTCCTACGCTGTCTGTCATGAGAATGGTTTGGTCTGTTAAGAAGTTCCTTGTTTATTACCTTGCCAAAACATTCTTTCTGCCACAGGCACAGTATAAAAACTCAGAAAACTGCAGAAAATCTGTAGTTTAGCTCTCACAAATCACTGGAATTCAGAAAAAAACATTGTTCTCATTCTCCTGAGACGCAAATACCAGCCTTTCCCATTCCCGGTGGGCATGCAAGCACGAGTTCAGTGCCCATGCTGTGGTGTGGTCAATTCACATCACTGTGTATATTCTGTAACTGATGTAATCAGCCTTTCAATCTCATTTAATTTAAGCATAACTGATCTAGCTGTTCTCCTATTCCTCCACCCCTGCTCGATCCAGGCTCCTAAACTCAGGTCTGATAAATATAAACTTGTTTTTGCAGAGCTAGAACAAGGTGACATCCCGACCTTTTACACTTACGAAGAAGGATTGTCACATCTAACTGCAGAAGGTCAGGCCACTCTGGAGAGGTTAGAAGGCATGTTAGCCCAGTCTGTCAGCAGTCAGTACAACATGGCTGGAGTGAGAACAGAAGACTCAATAAGGGAGTTTGAAGGTAAGAAATGCTTTTGTTTTACTAAAGAATATATGAAAGCAGTGGTTCTCCAGTCTGGCTAATCCACAAACACTAGGACTAGGCAAGTATCCTACTTGATGATGCTGTACCGCACTGCGTGCGTCAAGTTTGTCTTTGTTCACAACCACAGGTTATAAAAACGCCTGTGGCAAGTTGCCTGCCATGGACTGAGGGCTGCTGTGTTAAAGAATGAGGACCTCTATGTTAAGAATTCTTGATTCTTACTGGTATGATTTAAGCTGAGGGAGGGGAGGGTGAGATGAGATGGGAGGCAGAAATCCTTCCCTGTGAGGGTGCTGAGGCCCTGGCACAGGGTGCCCCGAGAAGCTGTGGCTGCCCCTGGCTCCCTGGCAGTGTTGAAGGCCAGGTTGGATGGGGCTTTGGCAATCCTGGGCTAGTGGAGGGTGTCCCTGCCCACGGCAGGGGGTTGGAACTAGATGGGCTGTGAGGTCCCTTCCAATCCAAACCAGTCTATGATTCTGTGATTTTCTGGAATAGTGGTAGGGTGAAGTTGTTTTAGGATTAAAAAAAAATAAATTAAACTTGTCAATCTACACTGGGATTAGGAAGCAATTTCCACTCTAAACAGGTAATAGTATTTTCCTGAAAATACCCTAAATCGTAGGTTAATAATTGTCTTTACAGAGTTCAGTGTGAATTGGGAATCATTGAAATACACTGGACCATCTTCTTTTCTGAAGGATGCTGTCTCTTAATGCTGCTGATTGTTCAAATGTGTATTTAAGGAGTAAGGCTTCTTTTTGTCGGAATAAAAACAAATTTTTTGTCAGAAAAATCTCAGATTTCGCCCTTTCTGTATGCTGTTTTCACTGGAGCAATGTATTACCTGGGAGAAGAACAGGGAAATAGTTTAGTAGTATTGCTTCTTTTTTTGATATAAATGGCAGTGGTTTAGTACAGCCTGATGTTTTTGAAGGATGAAAAATGATGCAGCTATTGTGGATTTCTAGCTATCAGCTTGCCTAGAGTAGTCAACAGAATAATAACTAATCTGTTCTGATCTACATGGATGATTTTTTAATCTTTATTTGCTTTGTCAGTTGTTTACAGGTTCTTTTTGTTCCACAACTTTGAATAAGTTTATATAATGTAAAGATAACCGTAGGTGATATGCTTGTGTTTTAGCAGTGCCCTTCACTAGAAAATTCTGTCAGGTGTCTGAACTCCAAAGTCTGAAAATTAAAATAAATTGAACAGCAAGTACGCCATGTGTCTCAAAAGCCATCTTCATCCGTTTTATTTGCCGTCCTAATCTTACTTCCTACATTACTGCTTCTTGGTTTGCTACAATTAACAGCATCCCCAAGGCTGCGCAGTTTGAGAATTGTGTTATTTTTTGACATTGTAGCATAGAACGATTGTTCCTTTTACCAACTTTATGATTGCGGAGAGTGGTTTCAGAATAGGATCCAGCCTCTTTCTGTAAGAGCATAATTAAAGCTATTAAAAGGAATTATGCCATTTGTTACACTGAAACTTCATTTCAAAAAAAATGAAATAGTTTAAATCCAGTATTTAAGTCTTTTAATAAGGTAGGGTGAGATGAGGTTGTAGGAAGTGGTGATGTCTTCAAGTGTCCGACTGATAGAGCTGGAACAAAACCACAAACTTGTGAGCACATCAGATTCCTTAGGGCGCTTTCAGAAGTTCAGCAACGGAGTTTTCTGTTCTGGCCATCTCTTGTCAACAGAGGGCACTCACTCTCTTTCGTATGATAACGTCATCCCCTTGCGAGCCTGCGGTGTTACATAGCGTTGGCTGCTGTTTTTCAGATGGGATGGAGGTGGACATAGCACCAGTAGTTGCGGGGCAGTTTGAAGACGCTGAAGTCGATCATTGAGGAGGACGTATGCTGCTGTAAGTTCTTCTGTCTCCCAACACCAATGCTTTTCAGTCCCACAGAACCTTCCGTCTCTAATTTGTGTAATGCAGACGATCTTGGATCTCCTACGGGAAGTATCTTGTGATATCAGGATGATGGTGATTTATTTACAGAAGGAAAAGGTAGCTGTGGTTATCACAAGTATGGAAGGATGTTCAGTGATCTGTCCAAAATTGCCTATTGGCATAAACCATGACAGCATGTGGGTAACCTCTGTGGACATGCCTGTCTGGAAGACAGGTCAGCTGTCCGGTAAATTAAGAATTGTCTGACCTCAGAGGCTGGTAGATGCTGATACATGAACGCTGGAGCCATTGCTGGGAAGTTACTGTCCTTAGTATCCATTATTTCGCCCTTAGTGTCCAAGATTTCCCAGGCCTTTCAAGGGGGCAGAACACTACACAGCGCTGCCAAGTCCATCTCTTCCTTCACTGTAAGTGGAGCAGGAACGGTTCTCGGGAAGGAGTTCGGTTGTCAGAAGTGCACAACTCAGAGACAACACCCTGCTTAGGTGGTTGTGCCGCTGCGCCCTCTTGCCTCCCATCACCTGTACTGCTTTTCTCCTGTCTGTCGGTGGCATTACAAGATGTGCCAGCGTTTCCTCGCTGGCGCTGGGTGGGAGAGGACTGTGTCTGTGGTGACACACAGGCACAGCGGGGTTGTGATTCCACTCTGCTTCAGCAGTGCTCGCTAGTGCACCGTTGGCATGTGCCGCTCAAGCGGTGGTGTGTTGTGCCGGTGCTTCTGCCTTGCTAGGAAGTGGGACTGCCAGCTCTCGCCTTAAAGTGAGCACAGAACTATCCCACTTGAAATGCCAGAGAAAACAGTTGTGGGGCGGACAGCCAAAAGCTTGGGGGAGATAAAAGGGGCAGGGGAGGAAAGGGCTGCAAATAAGAAGAAGAAATGCTGAAAAAAAAAAAATCAATGGAAACAAGTCAGGAGTAGTTGGTTAGAGATAAAGAAACTGGTTGCAGAGGGGTGATGTGCATCTGCTTTTCTCCTCCATTGCTTATTTTACTTTGCTGTTAATACTCTTGCAGTTCTGAAAGTCTCTGAGTAGCCCTATGTTCACTTACTGATCTCAACCACTGCCACTGAATTAGTATTTCCCGTTTGGTGTAAGAGCTCAAACTTTTCTTCAGTTGCTCTTCCTACCCTGGACTTTGCAATACAGAGAGGAGTTTTTCCAAAAAAAGTCAAGATACTGGTTGGTTGCCTTGTCACTGGACAGTTATCTTATTTGATAAAGGACACACTTTAAAAATAGGGAAGATTCTTCAGCTGTAGATGAAGTTCTTCTTAGTGAACAGAAAGCTTGGCTCTGACTCCATCTCCAAGATGATTTTGGTCCATAGTTTATTTAAAAAAAAAAATTAAAAAACTAAGATCATGCTGTTGACAATTCAAATTTGAATGCTTATTGTCCTGGTTTAAACTTGAGCAGGATTAAGGAGAGTTAGTGGCTGGTAGCAGATCTCTAAGGAGCCTGAAAGCGCTGGTGGAAGTGGTGTTGACTGATCTTCTAGCAAAGCACAAAATACACCCTGTAAGAAGTAGTTTTGATCAGTGGAATGCTTCCTGCTGCTTACTCCGTCCTTTCCATGGTGCAGCACGTGGCTGTGGGAGATTAATGCTGTGAGAGGTGGTTGGATAGGGAGTCCTTCTGCTGGTGCTGATCAGAGCTGAGAAGCTGATCCCTCTTAGGGCAGATCTATGCCATGCAGCGTCAAGCGTTGCAATGACATCACTCCAGGTAGCAGTTTGGGAGCTGTGGGTGTGATAGGCCTTTTTAAAGTAACCACCAGCCTGAGTATGCTGATGTAATCTAAGTTGAAAAATGTAGGATATACGGCAGCAATAAACAACTGGAGGTGCAAAGTTCAGAGAACAGCTCTTGGAGATTTGCTAATCGCCCTGCTAACAAGTTTGAGCATGAGGGCGGCTTGGTTCTACACTCTGAAAACGGAGGCAAAGAGGGAGCATGCCGTGGCCTCGGTACTCTGTGGAGCAGCTCAGCCTTCTGAACTGCAAAAACGATCTACAGGAACATCTTGTTGGTGATCCTTTAGGGAGCAGTGCACTGCCCTGCCTCTAAAGCGATGCCCTTGTGGGATGCTCGTGTTGCATGTTACTGCTCGTTACCCAAATGAGATGTGACAGCTGCCTGCTGAAGCTCCTGGAAGACTTGCTGACAGTCGATGTGGGACATTTCCACTGGTCTTGTAATAAGCGGTGTTTTGTCTGTCCCATCACGAGGTTGCATAATTGTTCCAAAGCAACTGGTGGTGTCTGTGTGCGGTGGTGCGACGGGGTCTTCCAGGGCACAGGCGTCCAACCGCGGATTGTACGTGCGTGCTGTCCTTAGCTGACCTGAGTTTAGAGCTGCAGTCCAAGGGGAAGATGCTCAGCCCTTCTGAAAATTAGTGGGCTTGCAGTGAAGTGCTGTCCTTTGTGCCTGCAAACAACGGATGGCTACTGCTCTGTGAAGATAAATAAGCTTTTATTTTAATGCCAATTACGTAAATTTGGTGTCTTCTATCTTTCAGATTCCTCTTGTGGCACTTCCAGAATAAGCTGTAAAACTGAAGGCATTGCAGTGACTATCGGGAGTTAACCTTTCTTTTAATGACCTAAGCTTAGACATCTTGGTCTATAAATGCTTTTATAGATGTTTAAAACAGGGTTTGACATTTGTGACCACTATAGGGTTATTTAAAAACAAAACAAAAAACAATAAAACCTCTTGCATCTAACACTTGAATGGGGCTAATCAGGGGTCGTTTCAAAGAAGCCTTTGTAGGAATTCTAGGACTTCAGAAGTAAAACTAAGTAGAACAGAATTTTAGATTGTCCTAGAATTTTCCATATTTTTGTACCTATTCAGCAAGTTGGTGGAGTATGGAAACAGACACGTTACCAAGTTTGACTAAAATGAAATAGGGTTGGCCAAGGATTAAAAGCAAAGCTAAATTTAATGCCCCTCAAGTAACTGGCTTCATCAGTTCAGTGCTATTCCTTTCATTTCTCTGAGACCAGAGTTTGGCTAGTAAAGGAGATGGAATAAAGTCTGTAAAGTCCTGAAAAAGAGAACTGTTTTGTGTCTTTGTATTAAATGTTAACAACATTGTTAAATAAACTAAGATTTTTGTATCTCACAACCAACTCTGTGTTGCAGTTCTCAGTCCTTTACTTCAGCAAGTGGCTGGCAACTCTGAGCTCACATGGTTTGAGTTTTAGCACTCTTGTAACAAAAAAAAGCAAAGCCATTTTCATCATTTACCTGGAGAATAAAAGGGCAGAATATTTGCACAGTGTGCCTGTGATTTTTTTTTATATTTTTTCAATATTATTCAATATTATTTCAATATTATTTTCAATAGTTATTTCAATATTATTATGTTGGTATCTGAACAGCTTTCCTTAGCAGCCCTACACTCTTGGAATAGTACTGAGTGGTTCCGCCCTGCTTAGCACATTGGGATATGGTTTGGTTTCACGGTATGTGAAAATTATAACCACTCTTTGCTGAATATTCATTAGGAACACCAAATTAGTGATGATGTAATAGTGTTGTGAACTATTGACATTGCTGAATAAATTATTTAGCATGTTATGCAACGAGGCGTTCTACAAGAATGTCTTTCCCAGTCCCTTTGTATGTAGATGTATATATATTTATGTAAATATATGCATGCTTTTGTTAGGGATACAGTGTAACAAAGGAGGGCACAAGGTGATGCTTTAGTTTTTGCACTGGGATTTAGAGAATCTCTGCATGGTGAGGTTTTTGGGACAGCTAAGGAGTACTGAAACTTTACCAACACTGTTGTTTAGGAAAGAAAGCTCATACAATTCTAAATCACCATTCATGGTTTAAACAGCTTTTGGATTTTTAAATTATTTTGTTTTCTGGTGTAAATCTTAGTTGTTGGAGTGTGGTTTTCATATAAAACTGCAGACTACCTGTCACTTATCCTGGTAGGTGGGTACAGTTAGCCTACAGAGCAGCGGGATTATTCGCAGCTCCTCTCTACTCACACTATGTCCAAGCAGCAGGAAGCTCCAGAAAGGAGGATTTGTGCTGTATTGATGCAGAGCAGCAAGAGCAGATACTTTATGATGCTTCCAGTCAAATCAATAGAGCGAAATTAATTTCGATCAGGTGGAAACAAACATGGATGAACCCTGAAGGGAGCACTGAGATGTGTCTTGGGTGGATTTACAAGTTTTATTTTCAATAAAACTGTATTTAAGCTATGTGTCAGTGTTCTGGGAACACTTAAAGGCATTCATTATTTTGAATGTAAGAATATTAATTTTTGTCTGTACCAGTTAAATTCTTTAGTTCCTAACTTAGCTTTCATTCTTTCTGCTACTTTTTTTTTTTGCTTCTGTTTTGCCTTCATTTAGTCAATTTCTTATCCATTTCTTCGTGATTTTTTTTTTTTTAAATTCTACTTCTCGTGGCTATAAATAGAGCAACTACTTGTTAATCACCCAGATTTGTATCAGTTTTTTTAAACTATATGTTATGCCACAACAAACAATGTAGATGTACAGAAGTCAGATCCGACCTCTTTGCTTTATGGACTTTGCTTTTGCAGGCCATCAAAAATGACGTGGAAGTAGGGCCTCTAATCTAACAAAACTTTGCTGCTTCTAGGTTTGGATCTCTACTTTCTCTTTTCCCTGGCTGCCCGCGTTTATGCTCTTTGAGATTTATTTTTGAGACCTTTACCCTGTGGGCCTCATGGGCTCAAAGGAAACATGCAAATCAGTTGATTACGTAAGGCTCATTTCTGTAAGAAACGAGGCTAAAAACTGGGCTTGAGTGTACCGGTAAAGGCACAGTCCCAGGAAGGGGCGGGGGG